TCCTACTGAGATCTGCTCAAAAGGTGTCTCAAAAATTCAGAGCAATTCCCAGCTCTGCATGGGGCCTCAGCTGCCGTTCCGGCCTCCTCCCATGTCAGAAATGAAACGACTCCTCTCATTACTCGGCTGCTGTCAGTCCCATTGCGGCACCTGCAGCCCACAGTCCTGACACCTTCCCTGCCAAGTGAGGCTTGTCTCTGTGGTGTGAACCCTGGGTCCGTGTCTTGTCACTGCGGCAGCAGGCCATGGGGAGTCAAGTGGCAACAGGCCATGGGGAGCGCCAGGTGCACTGAGGTTCCCCAATGAATTGATCCAATCAGGGAGGTTTCCATGGCTACCACGTGCCCCTGGAGACTCCACTCAACTCCTGCCAAATGCCTAAGTTGACTGGTCAGAGCTGCCTCAAGCCCAGCTCAGAATCTTGCGCATGCTATAGACACACATTCTTCTATCGCTAAGGCCAGGGTGCTTTACATTTCGATGAATTAATACAATCATTTTCACAGAATGGGAAGTTACACAGAGATCTGACACTGAGTTACATGGCAGGGCGTGCGGCCAGGGATGTTCCCAGGATCCACTGAGGCCCCCAATCTGCCGACACTCCTCCCTTGTCACTGTCCCTCGCCTGGCTCAGATTCTTTGGTCAATAATCATTATTTTCACTCCCTTGCACACACCATCAGCTCCATATCTACATCTTCACTTGGCAAAAGCCACACCCCTGGCTTACCCTCCACCGACCTGAGGCCTGTAGCCAGCAGCAGGCGTGGCTGGAGAGAAATGTACACGGCTGTGCTGGCTGGGGCACCGACTCCCCGTAGCATCCACGGACCACCTGCTCCAAAGCCGGGTGTTTTACCAATGGTTTATCATGTGTCCACTCCTGCAGGCAGAATCTTATCTAGTTCCAGCATCACCCACGAGGCCTGGCACACAGTAGGTGCTTAATAAATACCTGCTGGTAAATGGTGTGCTCTGCAACATGTGGACAGGGCACAATCTGTGTGTCTGGGACGGGGCAGGAGGCAAGGCTCATGGTAATGGCCAGGGAGGACTTTGCAGTCCTGGGATGAACCAACCCCCTTTTCTTATTCACATCCAACTTGTTCGAAAGTCCTGTGGCCACCCCAATCCAAAAAGAGTTATGATACCACCCAAATCTATGACATCTCCATCCTTACAATCTCACTCCTCCACCGCCTCCCACCATGGCCACGCTCTAGACCTGCCTCTCACTCTTTCTCCCCGGGTCTCCTTGCTGGTCCCCAGGCCGCCAGCCTTGTCAGCTAGAATCCAGTTCACCCACGACACACACCCATGGCACCTCCAAAGCTGACTAGTGACACGCCCCTGTTTACGGTACATCAATAGCTTGATAGCTTCCCGTCCCCCGGAAGCAGGGAGGTGGGAAGTCAGCACAGCCTCCAGTAACGTAATATAGGTGCAGACACCGAGACAGGATTCAACCCTTCTGAGGAATGAGGGCGGATGTCTGTTTTCACTCTCCCACCTTAACACTGAAGCACATGTTTACCTCCATCTTTTCAGAGAGAACCAGCTTCAGGGTCTAAGGGCAACCTGGAGAGAGGTTGCAGCGTCCTGTTCAGTAGCCGCTGGCCACAGGTGGCTATTTCATTTGAAGTATGATTAACCAGAACTAAATCAAATTAACGATGTCGCTCCTCAGTCACCAAGCCACATTTTAGGCACTCAGTAGGCACACAGGGCTGGTGGCTGCTGCCAGGTGCGTGCAGACAGAGCGGTCTATTATTACGGAAGGTTCCATCAGGCCTGAGGCTGGATCTTAATCCCATCATTTTGTGTGCATCGCCGTCAGGGTTGCGGCTGCCTCCTGTTTATGGTATGTGATACTTTAACTTAGGATGGTGAAATTCAATTCCCTTTCAAAAGAAAGTTACTTAGGCAAAAAGAAAGCAACTTGATTTAAAGAAAACAATTTTTTTTTAATGGGAAAAGTAAATGGAAGCACGTGGGGCATGCGGAGGCAGTCAGAGCTGTGGGGGTTTTGTGAATGACTGGCTTTTGGGGCCCCCGCCCCAGGAGAAAGCCCCCTGCCCACACCATCCACAGCGCCACAGCTCTGGCACCTTCCGCCTCCTCATGCATCTGCCTCCCGCACACCCACGCTCTCAGGCAGCCTCCTCGAGCCCAGGGAGCTTCCTACCCAAATTCCTTCTCTGGCCTCCTCGGCGGCCCCCACAGCAGCTTGTCCAGACCCTGGGCTACAGCAAGGATGGCTCCCTCCCTTCCACTGCCATGGCAAGGCTGTGTCCCCCAGCAGCCCCCGAGCCCTCCAGGGAAGGGTTGAGTTTCTGCCATTCATCCCCGTGTCCCCAGGGCTCAGGGTGGACCTGGGAGTAGAAAGGCACAGGGAATGGATGGCTGAATACATGAAATGAAGCAGCATCCCTTCCATACTCCAGGGCTTTACGGTCCTTCAGAAAGGGCTTCGGCACCCACAGTGTCACGGAATCCTCACAGCAGCCCGGACGGAAAAACCGCAGCAATTACCATCCCCACCCGAGTCCAGCAGGAAGGAGGCGGGGGCTCGAGGAGGGTGGCTGCCACTGTCCCAGGGCTGCAGGGGGCAGGCCAAAGCCAGGGCAAAAGCCCTAGACCAGGCATGGAGGCCCGAGCATGAGCTCCGGCTCTGCCCCTGCTAAATGGGGACTCTGGGCCAATCCCTCATCTCCCCCAGCCTCCACTTCCTCATCTGTGAAATGGGATGATCATCACATTACCACTGTCTCTGAGCACCAAGTGAGACAGCGAACGGCAGGCTGATTTGTAAACTGTACGGTACTGTCTAGGCGACTCAGTGAGCCCCACACCCTCCCCATTTGCAGACCTGGAGCCCCTGCTAGGAGACCGCCTCTCCCCAACATCCAGGGGCTGGGGGCGGAGCTGACTTCCTCCAGCACCAGGGAGAGATACAGGAGTCCGGCCTGACCAATCACAGCAAGGCATTCACCCCCAATGAGAGCCCACGGGGTGCCATCTAGGGTCCTGGTGGGACAGTTCAGAGAGAACTGGTCTCATTTCTCCTGTACTGTATTCTGGGAGGGTGGGGTGCGATCTACTGGCACCTGCGATTGAAGACACAGAAGACAGCAGAGGCGATCAGCCCAGAGAGCCATTGCCCATGCTGCTCCAGCCCCTGAAGCCACCTGGCCTGAAGCACTCTTACAGTTACCCACATCAAACATGCTCATGCAGCAGGAAGAGTCTAACCAACCGCTGCTGTGAGCACTGTGGACTGGTGGGGCCCGATGGCCTTTCAGCTTCAATGGAGGGTCAGACAGATGTCCAGCCCAGCCCGCTATGTACAGAGAAATCTGAGCTTCAAGCTTTCAAGGCGGCTCGGGTCCCAATCCTTCCTAGAACCTTTCTGGCCATCCCAATCCAGCCTCCCAGCTCTGGGCACTCCATGCTTTCGGGACAGGAGAAGACAGAGACTCTGATGTTTCCTGACACCCACCAAGTGCTGACTTAGTGCTGGGCACATCACACAGAGGGGTTCACTGACGGCACCCCGCAGCTCTGTGAGGAAGGATGATTGAAAAGACGGAGGCTCAGAGAGAGACGTCACTCACCCAGGGTCACAGAGCTTGAAGGTGGTAGTCAGACCCAAACAGACTTTCCGCCTCCGAAACCCACACATGTGCCCCGCACCCTCTGGCTGGCTCAGGGGACATCCGACGCTTTGCTCTGCTCCCTTCCTGTTGTTTCCTGAGGGTCTCCCTGCCCAGGGGTCTCTGGCTGTGCCTGGCTCTCAGCCCACAAAAGCCATTTTTTACTCTCTTTCGCCCTTCCCGGACTGCTCCCCGCCTCCCCTGCTCCCCACAGCTATCCTGGCTTCTGCTGCTCCGAGGGATGCAGCCCACTGGTGACCGGTGCTGGGTGCCCAGGCTGCCTGGAGTTGGGAGGCCATCGGTTGCATGGAGGCTCTCAGGAGGGTCTTCCCACCCCTTCCAAGACACACCTGGACGGCATCCTCCACAAAGGGCAGTGTCGTGTGGAGGTTAGAAGCGGGGAGTCTAGGGCCTGAGGGCCTGGGTTTCAAGCCCAGTTTTGACACTTGCTGGCTGTGAGCTTTGAGCTAGTTAACTTGAGTGCTCTGTGACTCAGTTTCCTCATCCGTAAAGGAGACTTGTAACAGTACCTACCTCATAGGGTTGCTGTGAAGATGAAATGAGTTACAATGAATGCTTGTTGATGTTAGTCACAGAGCCTGGCACACAGAGCCTCACTATATGTTATTATAATTATTATTATCATTGTTTGTATGCAGAATAGTGACATCTCCGCGACCTGCCTGCCCGCCCACCAGCCCCCGCCTCCCACTCCCGCCAGCAGGTCAAGCCTTGCCCTGCCTGCAGGCCGGTGCTCATGCCATCACCAGCTCTGTCCTCAGCAGTTGGCGGGAATTGTCAACGCTGCTGCCCCCAGCTTGCCCTGACACGGGAACATCGAGCAGGGGGCTCTCAGGACCCCAACCCAGCTGGGCTTCTGACACCCTGGTTTGCACCCAAAGCCCTGGCTGGGGCCCCAGTGCTGGTCCTCCTAGGCTAACACAGCCTGCCTTGGGCCCCGGTGGGGAGGGCCCCAAAGGGCCTTCAGTGGACGCTGAGCCAGGCCAGCAGTCCCTCGTCCAGAGCAGCTGAACCCTGAACTCTGTCTCCTTCCTCGCCGCTGGTGAGGCCCCAGGATGAGGGGGATCATGGCCACCCTGGAGGAGGCAATGGGTTACGTGCAATGCTCAGCAACCGTGATTTCTGTGGTTTTCAGAAACAGATGTGACATACGATTCTGCATCTGGGCCTCACACGCATACTAGGAGCCAGAGGTGCCTCACTGAAGAAGTTAAACAATGCAGCCACCCCCAAACCAGCTGGCTGCCAACCAAACCAAACCTGCCGCCCATCGGAAGCCACCCTGCCTGTGGGAGGCACCGGCCAGGCCACAGTGAAGGATACTGAAGCTCCTGTCGGTGATGGCCAGGTGCCAGAGGTTGATGCGCAGGTCATCCGCCGACATGTAGGTCTCGCAGTCACTGTTGACGGAGATGGAGTTGATGTGGTAGGTGTGGCCATTGGCAAAGATCCTCCGAGGGCTCACCTCCACCATCAGGTCCATGGGCTTCAGCACTGGCACCTGCAGAGGATGGGGAGGCAGGGAGGAGGTGAAGGCTAGGCAGCAGCATGAGGACATAGCACGCCGTGGGCACGTGATCCAAACTGGAGGCTGGAACACAGGGGTGGGCGTCCATCCTGATCCTCTGTGGTCTGAAATAGGCAGTGACAGATGGCAAATGCCTGCCACCCACCAGCCCTGCATGAGAGGCATGAAAGCTTACCCGCTGTGGGTCTGTGAATAAGTGTCTGAACCCTCCTATACCCCAATTTCCTTAACTCCAAAATGAAATGGAAAGATAATGTGGCAGAGCCAGCCAATTGTCTACCAAGCCTCCTCACCTCCCTCCTGCAACGCAGTGCTGTCACTGGGAAACAGCTGTCTACATGTGGACTACATTTCCCAGCAGGCTTTGTGCCCAGGCATGGTCATGTGACTAGTTCTGACCAATGGGATGTGCGCAAAGTGATGCCTGGCCCTGATACAGTTAAGCAGCGGGAGCAACTCCCCATGGTGGAAGGTGAGGACCCAAGCCTTAGGGACTGAGACTCACGGGATGGGGATGGAAGGAGCCTGCAAGAGAACTGTATCCCAACCAGCACACCCACACTGAACCTTCCCATAGTGAGAAATGCATTTCCAAGCTCAGCCCTGGACTGATGGGGTTGTTTTGTTACAGCAGTGGAATTAGCCTGACTCATACGAACTTTCATCTCAGATGGCTGGTGTGAGGGTCCTTGCCATGGCATCAGACATTGGACTTTCACAGCCCCGAGGGTCCCTCGCATAGCCCTGACCAACCCTGAGGCTGTCATCTGGTCCCATCAGCTTTCCTAGCTAGCGAGGCGTCACCTCTTGCTTATCTCTCCATCTCTCTGGCACTCAGTCCAAGGCCTAGCAGAGAGGCTCTCCAGTGAATGAGTGAATGTGTGAGTGAATGAATGAATGGGCTGTGTCCCTGAGCTCTCAGGGAACAGCTGAGATGGGAGGTGACAGCCTCGGTGCTGCAGTCAGAGTGACAAGCACTGAGCTCCTTTGGAGCAGAGGCAACTCTGCAGCCCACATTAAATTTTCCCACACACCAGGGCACCCAGCGTGTGTGTGTGTGGGAGTGTGCATGGCTGAGAGTGCATGTATGAGTGTGTGCATATAAGTGTGCATGCATGAAAGAGTATACGTGTATGTGCATGTGTGTGCGTGTGTGTGTGTGTGTGCAGCACCGGTGTGAGTGCCAGCCTGGATCTAGGTGGTTTTTGCGTTGCTGCCTCTGTGTCTTTGCTTCTAGGTTGTGTGCCTGGGAGTTGGTGTTAATATGTCTGGACTCCTCCAAGGCATCCTCCCTGCATGTATTCCTGTGTCAGATATTTTAGGTAAGCTGCTAACCTTCCCTTCCTTCAGGGTGCAGCCACTGCCCACCGTGGGGATCCCTGGACTCTCAGGAGAGACAGGGAGTCCAGCAGCTCTGGAGGAGGGCAGAGCATCAATGGCCCAGCAAAGTCTTGGCATCTCAATCTGCCTTCCCCTTCCTTTTGGCAACGTTGCTTTCTGTTTTCTCCGGGCAGCCTTGGGACCCAATTTGCCCAGTGCTCCAGCCATTTGCTGCCATCCACCAAACCAGATCTCAAAGCCAGTTTTTTAGTAAAGGGAGGAAGAGAGGAAAGAAAACCTTCCCTAAGGTTTGGGGTTTTCATGAGTAAAGCATGCTGCCTCCACAGAAGCCGCAGTCTAGTCAAGGTGAGGGGCAAGGAAGATACAGATACTAAGGACAGACAGTGTTGGATGCAAAAGGCAAGAGTGGATACAGGAAAGATCACACTTTTCATCTGGCCTGTGCAGAAAGGCTTTACGGAGGTGAAGGCCGGCAGGGTTTGATAGGAGGTATGGGAGTTCACCAAATTGACCAAGTAAAGAAAGGCCTCCTGGGGTGCCCACGGCCTCTCTGTGTCCCTCTGTCACAGCACTGACCGCCAGTGTGATGATGATTCCACGTCTGTTTCCTTGGGGGCTGGGGACACTTTGGGGACAGGTACCGAGTTGAACCTTGCTCACCTCTAGGGCCCCAAGGGCTAGCCCAGGGTCTAGTGTGGAGCAGCTCCTCAGTAAACAACAGCTGCCTCCAGTGTGAACTGCACAGGGTGGGTAGAACGCTGTGCAGGGTTGGCATGGCGTGGGTGAAATCGGAAGCAAACAAGGTGAGAGGCAGGATGAGGACAGACCAGGGCACCCACGTTCTCAGTGACAGTCAAGTGTCTTGGGATGTGTGTGACTTACAGAGAAAAACCTCCAACACTGGGAGCGACATAAACAGGATTTTTATGAAGGCCACTGGCTCTGCCCCAAACACCAGGGCGATCAAGATGTGATCGCTGTATCCCTCCCTCTATATGAAACCCTCATAACCTTTCTTGGGACTGGGGGTGGGACAGGGGGCACCATCACCCTCATTACTCCACATCGAAGCTAATTGGCTGCCCACTTCCTCAGAATTTATTTGTGCAATTTGCCGGTCATTTAAGCCAATGTATTTAAACATTTATTTCTTCTTCTCAGGAAGAGCATTGACTACCGCTTTATATTTCTGCAGCTCACTGGATGTTGGGCACGTGGTGTCTGTTTCAGGTATGTCTGTTTCAGGCCTTTGTAGATGCTGCAGGCCTCACATGGTCCAGGCGTCCCTCTGCCCTCAGTAAAGGACTCAGGAGCCACAAAGCTCTGCTAACCTATTCTCCTTCTGCCTCTGCCTACTCACTCAGTTGAGCAGTTTCAGGTGAGTCACTGTCTCTCTCTGGGCCTCAGTTTCCCCCTTCTTATAACAAGAGATTATCCGCCTTGCTCTCCACCCTCAGTTGCAGGTGAAAAACACGTTATAGCCATGCACCATCCCTGCATGCTCACAAAATGCCTAGAAGAAACGTGGTCATCTCTATGCTGCTGGTGAGGAAACTGAGGCAAGGGGCAGGGAGATGCCCATGGCTGCCCAGCAGCCAGCAGCCCAGCCACAGTCTGCACCTGACTCTGGCTCAAATCTCAGAAGGCTTTTAGAGCCCTAAAATCCTCAGGTGTAATAAAGAGGCGTGTGCCTGCTTCCTCCTCGCCAGAGCTCACCTGCAGTGATGTCACCGTGGACAGGTCCTTAAGTTTCCCCTCTTCATCCTTCAGGTTGTATCCTTCGGGCCTTTTATCTCGTTCGGTAATCTTCCATAATTTGATAGTTTTATCTTTAAAAACAGAACAAAATAAAACAAGTCACATAATTAACCAGACGGATGGAAGAGAAGATCCACTTTAGGAGGTCATGAGGCACCTCCCAGGGGAGGAAGAGGTTCTGCCAACAGACGGCTTTGGACCAGAACTGCAGCTCTGCCTCGAGGCCTCCAGCCTGAGGCCTCCAGCCTTTGGCCTCCCTGCAGATTTCAGACCGGCCAGCCTCCACAGTCACGTAAGCCACTTCCTTAACATAAATCCCCCTTTCTCTTTCCCACTCTCATACCCTACTGATTCTTTTTCTCTGGAGAACGCTGACTAATACAGGAGTTGAAACAAATGGCACCATCTGATGAGAATGAACTGGGAAGAGAATTGGTGTCAGCGGAGCATTTGGAAGGTACCCAAGGCCCTGCCATTAGGAAAGAGTGAAGCCGGGATTCAACACCAGGCTGGGAAGCTTCGAGGGGAGGGGCGTGTAGGGAGTGCTGAAAGATGACCGTTTCTCCAGAGAGGCAGGAAGAAAGTGGCATGTCTTTTTTTGTTTTTCTTTTCTTTTGAGACAGGGTCTCACTCAAATCACCCAGGCTGGAGTGCAGTGGCACCATCTTAGCTCACTGCAGCCTTGACTTTCCCGGTCTCAGACGATCCTTCCATCTCAGCATCCTGAGTAGCTGGGACTACAGGCTCTCACCACCTCACCTGGCTAATATTTTTATTTTTTTGGAGAGATAGAGTCTCGCCACATTGCCCAGGCTGGTCTCAAACTCCTGGGCTCAAGTAATCTATCCATCTCGGCCTCTCAAAGTGCTGAGATTACAGGCATGAGCCACCACACCAGCCTGGCACGTCCCTCTTAAATATTTTTAAAAGGGGCAGTTGCATGGGGCTTAGCACTCACCCGAGGCTCCCGTCCCCTGGGGCCTGCCCTTCAGGAGGACCTCTCATGCCCTGCTGGCTCAGGTGACAGATTTGCTGGGCAGGGCCCCTTACGGGACACAGACCCTGCCTTTGGGGTGCCTGGTGGGAGAACACCATCAGAACAGCAGGTGCCCAGAGCGGGGGTGAGCCTGAGTTAAGAGGAGCCAAGGTATCACAGGAGGAATGCCTGGCTCAGCAGAGAGGTCAGAAAAGGCTGGCACTCATCGAGGCTTATGGATTGAGGAGGGACTTGGCCAGGTGCAGGGTGAGGACAGCCTTCAGGCACAGGTGGGCTGGCAGGAACTGAGCCTAGTCAGGTTCAGGAAAGCATCGGAGGCCCCGCTGAGGAGCTTGGACGTCCTCGGGGAAGGCGTGGGGACAGCATCTCGAAGCCTGGCTGGTGCTTGTGCAGCAGTTACTATTCTCAGGGGGTTGAGTGGGCACCATTTCACGGACCCCAGAAGGGAGCTGTGTCCACCCTGCTGAGGCTCAGGAAAGCAAGGCCATTGCCTAAGGGAGGGAGGGCGGGGACAGAATCCAGGTGTGTCCTGGCTGGGCACAGTGTCTCATGCCTGTAATCCAAGCCCTTTGGGAGGCTGAGGCAGGCGGACCAGCTGAGGTCAGGAGTTTGAGATCCACCTGGCCAACATACAGTGAAACTCCATCTCTACTAAAAAATACAAAAATTAGTTGGGCATGGTGGTGGATACCTGTAATCCCAGCTACTTGGGAGGCTGAGGCAGGATAATCGCTTGAACCCGAGAGGCAGAGGTTGCCGTGAGCAGAGATCATGCCACTCTACCCCAGCCTGGGTGACAGAGCGAGACTCTGTCTCTCAAAAAAAAAAAAAAAAAAAAAAGAAAAAAGAAAAAGAAAATAAAAGAAAGAAAGAAAAAGAAAAAGAAAGAAAAGAAAAGAATAGAAAAGAATAGAATCCAGGTGTATCCTACCCGACCCCAGGCTGCCTGGGTCAGCAGGGGGCCCAGGTGAAGGAGGATGGGCGGGGGGCGTGAGTGGGGGACCCAGGCCCACGGTGAGCCAAGCAGGACAGCCCTTGCCGCTTCCTCAGTGTGCAGCCTGGGAAGCAGGCATCGGGCCAGTCCCCAGAGCCTGAGAGGCACATGCTCCTCCCTGAGGCAGGAAGATTAAGAGGCCAGCCAGGGTCCTAAACCAAGGCTGCTCCCACTGCCCCCAAGGGCCGTGGTGACAGCCCCAGTTTGGGGGTCTGGATTCGGCATGGGGAGGAGGGGTTCGCTTTGTGTCAAGTGTCCTCTGTATCTGCGACCTGCATCCTTGTCCATCACACTCCCTCATCCCAAAGCAAAGGCCTATAAAGATGGCCCGGACGGCTCTTTTCACAGTGGGGGGCAGCCCCGTGTCCAGCCATGGGGAGCGTCTGAAGGGGTCTGGCATCCTCACTCATGGGATTTACATGCTGCTCAAAATATTATTTTCTAGGAGTTCTGAAGACACAGAAAAACGCTCACAATATAAGCGAAATACAAACCAGCATTTGGTAGAAACATCTACAGCCCGTGCCCCTGCATGTGAGGCCGGGCGGCGCCTCACCGTTGGTGGACAGGAGCGAGTGGGCGGCGTTCTGCTGCGGGAGCCACTTGATCTTGTTGATCTTCTCCTCTATCTCCAAGCTCTTGAGATAGTCAAACTCTGGCTCATGGCTCTGGAAAGTGCTGTAGACGTCGTACTCGCCCTGGCTGTGGGGCGCATTTTTACTCTGCAGGGAAACCCAGAGAAGGGGCCTGAGCACCGTGACCCGCAGGGCGATGGCTAGGACCTCCGGGGACCCAGCAGGGCCGGCCGTGGGACCAGGCACCCAGCCGTGCCAGGGATCCAATTCGAGGGTCAAATGAAACTCTCTGCAGTTTAAGCGGCCCATGACTCGCAGTGTGCCAGGGACAAGCCCTGCTCCTGCGCGATCCCATGAGCACGCACACTCGAGCCAGCTCACTTGCTAATGCGAATGTTCCCCGGCACCTGCTACATGCTGGACACCCTGCTAAGTCGTCCCCGCACCATCGCATTCTACCCTCCAGGTCTCCTCTGCTTGAGCACCATGACTCTCCCCATTTCACAGACCAGCAAACAGAGACTCAGAGGGGAAGTGACTTCCCAGAGCCATGAGGCCACTCACCAGCCAGCACCCCTCTGCTGAGGCCTGTCTGATGCCAAGGCCGAGGCTCTGGCCACCCTCGTGTCTCGGGCCCTGACCTGCTCCTCAATTCCACGTGTCCAACTCAGGCCTAACTTGAGGAATAAATGAATATAGGAGCAGACTTTAACATTGGGACAGAATGTCTGGCAATGTCAGACCTGGATTAGAATCTGTCCCTGGCTTTCCTCAGCAGTGCTCGGCCTGGTTTAGGGAACAGAGCTCTTCCTAATAAAGACCCCTTCACTATGGGGCTCCCAAAATAGTCAGGTGATGAGTCCACTGTGTGCGCCAGGGACCACGTTCCCAGGAGAGAGTTCAAGTTCATACGACAACATGAAACCCCAACCAGCCCAGAATGATTTCAAGACTTCCTGGTTAATTTTTTTTAAGTATTTATTTTTATATTTCTGTCCCTGTCTTGCTTTTGAAAAGCTTCAAAGTTCTCCAATATTTTTGCCTCCAATTCACTTCGCTTCCCACGAGCACTCGTGATGACAAAGGTCAGTGGGACCAGAAGGAAGAAAACACTAAGGGAGAAAAATTCAAAATGGAGAAAATCGCATCAACCAATCGAATCTCTTTCTGCAGCTTGGCAAAAAGAAGGCTGAGCTTCGCCGTGCCTGGTGGGACACCTGGTGCATCTGGTGAAGCCCATAGGTGCTGGCAGAGTGCTGTGTTTGAGGAAGTGATTTGCAGCTAGGATGTGCCCCTTGTAAACTATTTTAACCCACTGCACTCCGGGCTCATCTGTAAAATGAGGGGAATAGCTGCACTGCACTGCACCCACAGGGTCACCGTGAGGAGGGTTATGTAAGCCACCAAGATAAAGTCAGATTCAAGGAGCCTCAGCTCATGGGCCATGCTCAGGAGTGAATGGAGGGAGAGATGATTCTGCAGGTCCTCTTTTCGCCCCCGCTTCCTCCCCTCCCTCCTACCTCCCCTTCTCCACCTCCTCTTCTCCTCCTCCCCTCCCCCTCCTCTCCTGCTCCATCCCCTCCTCCCTCCTCCTTGGTTTCCTGGATGTCTTCTGCAGCTAATTCCAGGCACAGTCCATGTTTGCTGGGGGAGACGCCCCTCTCTGAGGCTGGGTGGTGTGTGATGTTGCTGGCCACTGTCCTGGCGTCGGGCAGCCGGGCTTCCATCCCTGGTCTGCTGTTCACTAGCGGGGTGGCTTCTCTGAGTTTCCGCATCTGTCACAGGAGTGTGGATCTGACCCTCGGAGGTGAGCAGCGCAGAGTAAACGAGAAGCAACTCCAGAATACTTAGCAAGTGTTCTCAGTAAATGGGCTTTTGTCCCGAGGCTCTTTCAGTGTTCCAGAAATGTGGTCCTGGGCAGGTTGTCCAGGCCACTGCTGTCTTACCGAGAGTTCTGCTGGACAACAAGCCTCCGGGGGTGGGGGTGAGGACAGGGGTGAGGACAAGGGCCCAGGCCTGAGCAAAAACCACCTAGCCTAGCCTGAGGGCTGTGACAGCTGGGCGAGAGTGGAGTCCTCCCGCTCCCCAGTCTGGCCAGGACAACGCAGGTCACCCAGGCAGAGGAAGGTTTCACTGAAGGCACAAGCTGGGGCAGCAGCTGGCTGTGCCGTGTCCTGACCATTCGTCCAGGGTCTAGGACAGAGCGTGGGACGCAGGGAGCTCTCCGCAAACATTGGCTAAGGGCAGGGGGCTCAGAACCCGGCTTTGCCAGCCCACCAGGTACACTCCCCCCACCACCGCCCGCCACTCCCCCTTCGGCATTCCAGAGCATCCCATTCCCACCCCTGGAATCCATGCCCCTGGGAGATGCGATCCAGACAGGACGCCCCACACCTCCTGTCAGTTAAAAGCCCTCCTTTGGGTTGGAGTATAGTCCCCTACCACCTCTCGCCACACCACCCCTTATCCCCCTTATCCTTATCCTCCTCCCACCATGCCCACCTCCCACCTGACTCTGCTCCCCAGTCCTCCCACCTCCCACCAGACCCAGGGCTTCGCACCTCTGGTTCCCGCTGGAAGATGACGACCCGGCCGCCCTTGTCACCTGTGGCCAGCAGCTCTCCCGTGTGGTTGAACTCAACGGTAGAAATGATGTCAGCTGGGAGGGGAACAGCAAGACAGGAAGGGGTGGCTGTCAGAGCCCGCCTCTCCCGGGTGCTCAACAGTACCACAGCAATAGTGAGCTCCCCGCTCCCAGAAGCCCCACAGCCCTGGGCAGGAGGCAGCAGGGAGCCCGAGGGGTCAGGAGCACTGGCGAGGGGCCACTAACCTGTCCCCTCCTGCCCTCCTCTTCCCTCTACACCGGCTGCGGGGCAGAGCTCTCGGGACTTGGCACAGGCCTGGGGTGACCGCAGTGGCCAGCAGACTTTATAGTAACTGGACACTCTGGGACTCATGGTGGTATCTGAAACCACCTGGATGCGGCCTCGTCCTCCTGTCTTGAACTCCCCCACCCCCACCCCTGCCACCCAGGCCCGTGTGTTCCAGCAACCTGGGTCAGGGAAGCCCCTCCCAATATCTCCGTAGACAAGCAAGGCAACCCTCTGCTAGGGGCCCACTCAGGGCTTCCCACACAGTAGGACAGAGGTGAATTACGCCCTCTCCTTCAGACTCCTGCTCTGTGGCCCCACCTCCAGGCAGGCCTCCGGGATCGCTCTCTCATCTGTGCTCGCAGAAGCGGAGCTCAGCCCTGCCTGCCCTGACTCTCCCTGCACTTCATCCCAACCATGTTTCTTCAGGTCGCTCAAGAACCTTTCCTTATGGAGTCACCCCCATACCTGGAGTCTTCGATGCCCAGGGCTGGCCTTCCTGGATGGGCAAGTGTTTGGAGAAAAATGACAGCCCCATCTCCAGGCCCCACTTTTTGCATGTGGGAACGAGGGGAACACCCCCTTCTGTCACCAACATTCTCAGGTTCTAAGAGTCACAGAGATGAGGGGCCCGCACATTCTGGGTGGCCAGCCCTGGGAGTGGGGGACAGCAGGGGAGGACGGGGCCCTGGCCTAGAAGAGGAACCCCCGCTGGGTGACAGCTCACCAGCCTGAAGCCTGAGGCCTGCTCCGCCACCAAGTGTGCCTGAAGCCCCCAAATGATTCTGACTTTTCATTTGAAGTCATTCCTAATATTTTAAAAGTAGAAGATTTCCTATAAAAATCCACATTTCCAGTATGTCTTGGAAGATGGAAAGTTCTAGAACACCATCCCCATAGGCCCAAGCAGCAACAGCTAGTAGGAGCCTGGGATAGCCCGCTGCTGTGAATGGGACCTCTGTCGTTCTTTGCTCTCCTGGCCTGGACTCTGTAGGCTCTAAAATCTCTGATACCACCTTTAGCAAAATGGATCTACTTTCAAACAAGCCACAGATCTGACCACTGCTCCCTGCAGCCGCAGAGAGGATGCTCCACAGGGCTCCCTGTCCAGCCTCTGTTCTCCCTATGGCAGCCAACCTGATGGCCGAACTCCTGAGCCAGGACATCCCTGTGTCCCTCTACTCAAAACCCTTCATTTGTCCCCATAACTGAATTCTGATCCCTCCTCAACCTCACCCTCTGCAGCTTCCCCAGTCTCAGGTGATGACAGCTCTATCGTTCACTTGCTCGGGCCCAAGTCTTGGAGTTGCGCTCTCTCTCTCTCTCTCTCTCTCTCTCTCTCACACACACACACACACACACACACACACACACACACACCCCGCATCCCATCCTGCCTGCTCAGCCTTCACAGCATATCAGGATGCCAGCCGCTCTCCCACCTCTCACTGGATGACTGCCACAGCTCTTTCTCCCTGGCCTGGCTACGACGTAGCCTCAACAGACTGGCAGGAGAGAGGCGGGTAACACCCAGGACTGATCCTGGCACTCCCCTGCTCAAAACCCTCCAGCGGCTCCCATTGTATACTCAGAGAAAAGCACTGAGTGTTCTGAAAGCAGCACCCATCCCCCGCGGCCCAGGTGGGCCGCATCCGGAGCCAAACCTTCGCACCTCCCACCGTGGGCCAGGTAACCTGTTCTCTGCCCCCCACCTTGATTCTGGGCTTGTCCCTGTGTTTTGCTTTGGCCTGCAGAACGGCAATTCGACAAGCCACAAGCAGAGATGCAAAGGGGCTTAGGTACTGGGGGGTTGCCATCCGCGCCTCTGGCGGTGCCAGGAGCAGGACCTGCGCAGGCTGGCTGACTGGTCCCTGAGGGGGAGTAGGAAGAGCGGGTGCAGCAGAAGCCCCCATACCCCAGCCTCCAGCTGGGCCCCGCTGACCCACAGAACTGGGCAAGCCCAGCCAAGCCCAGACCACAGAATCGCAGATGCAAGATGATGAAAACGTTTACTGTTGTATGCATGGGGTCTCGTGTTTTTAACTCAGCAAAAGGTACCTCCTCCCCTTCCCCAGCCTCATCTACTGCTCTCCACCTGCTTATTCCCCTCCAAATGCCAGGCTCCTTGTCCTTTCCCAAAAGTCCTGGCCACCTTCTGTCCTAAGACCTGCTCCCTCAGCCTGCAGTGGCTTTCCCGTGGGCACCAGCACAGCTCCTTCCTAGTCTTCCAGTTCCGCCCGACTGCTGCCTTCCTGGTGAGCACAGCTGGGATCACCTTGCTGGAATTGCTGTCTGCACCCCAGCACCCTCATCCAGGACACCCTGACCATTCCCGCCCCAACCTAATCTGATGTTTTTCCTTCTGTAAAGGCTTTTATCATCTGTTGGCTGTCTTCCTGGCCAGAACGTCAACTCCACGAGGGCAGGAGTCTCAGGCTTAATTCACGGCTTCAAATGGTGCCTGTATACAGTAGCCACACCAGAGATATCTATCCAAGAAATGCCTTTTCTTTTTTCAGTCCAGACCTTTTAGGACAGCTCCTGGCCTGCACTGGCCTTCTGAGCCATGAGTCAATGCCAGCTTTGAGGCAACAGAAAAGAGTGAGAGAGGGTGGTTAGAAGTGGGATGACAGGCTGGATATATCCCTCCATCCATCAAGACAGATGCACATGTCATTAAACTTAAAAAGACAAGACAAGAAAAGCAGCTCTGTGGGAACACGGAAACGCCCACCGGGCCTGGAGTCAGGAACAGGGTCAGCTGTGCTAGCTAGGGTCCCCAGTGGGGCACTCGTTCTTGCTATTTCACATTAAAACCCCCTGAGGGGGAAGGAACGGGATAGAAAATTGAGTATAAAATGCTAGTAATGATCTACATCAATGATCATAACTATGTGAAATAAGGAAAGAAACTGTGTAGAGGGGAAAAAAGCTGCAAGATAATTTCCCAAAATGTGAACAGAGGTAGCTTTAGGGTAGCTGGAATGAAATACTATTTCCTCCTCTTTCAACTTGTCCATGTTTTCTAGATTTTCTGTAATGAAGTTACATCATTTTTTAATAGCTATATTGAGGTACAACCAATATACAAAAAAACTACACATACATAATGTATATAATTTGATGAGGGTGGGCATACACATAGTGTATATTATTTTTATGATGGGAACATAACCATGCTATTAAATTAAAATGCCAATAAACTATTGCTATCCAAAGCAAATGCGGTCCACAAATGCTGAGTGGTTGCCAAGCAACACACACTAATGTCTGTGGGCAATTTACAATTTATTTGTCATTTTCATATCTGCCACCTCCTTTAACCTCACGCCAGCCCCTGCAGGAGACACAACTGTGATTTCCATTTGGCAGCAGAGGAGATAGAGGCTCCCTCCACGAGAGACGACGCCATGAGCTCTTTGCAGACAGAAGTGCTGGCTGGAGTCTTGGCTCCAGTCTCAGCTGTGTGGTCTTGGGTAAGCCACACAAGTTCTCTGAGCCTTGGTTTCATTATCTGTAGTGTGCTTATGGTGGAGCCTTCCCAGGATTAGAGGTTCAAGTGAGACAAGGAGGTGAGAGGGTAAGGGAGGAAGAGAAGACAAGGACTCCGGGAATAATGAATCACCAAAATGTATAGGACAGAAACTAAAGCTCCTGGTCACTTGTGCTCTTGGCTGCCACAGGATTGACAACCACAAGCTCTGCAATGTGGCGATGGATCTGGGGCCCAACCTCACTTGTGGATGGTCCCGCCTACCAGTCCCGCCAGTTGCCCCCTGCAAACATCTAAAGAACTACCACCAGACCTCAGATCCCCTTGTGCCCAGGCCAGGGCATTGCTTCCTCTGGCCCACGAAGGAGCTAGTGGATGTTTAACATCTACTCATTTTTACAGGTAAATGTCTTCAGGATTTGCCTTAAGAAAAGTTGCCTCCCTTGAATGCCAGAAATTCTCATCAGTAAGGCCATAAAATTAATTGTTTTGGCAGCCACCTCTGTGAAGAAAGTCCATCTTCTCCTCTTGGATTATCTGACACATTTCCAGCTCCAATACCACCTCCTCCAGGAAGCCTTCCTGGATAGTTCCCTTTCCCCCTCCCCCAGTTAAGTGGTCTCTCCTACAACTGCAGTCTTCTATTTTATTCATTTATTTTTTTGAGACAGATTCTCCCAGAGTCACTCCAGAGTCACCCAGGCTGGAGTGCAGTGGCAGAATCTTGGCCCACTACAACCTCCACCTCCTGGGTTCAAGTGCCTCAGCCTCCCAAGTAGCTGGGATTACAGACACCTGCCACCACACCCGGCTAATTTTTGTATTTTTAGTAGAGTTGGGGTTTCACTATGTTGGTCAGGCTGGTCTCAAACTCCTGACCTCAAGTGATCTGCCCGCCTCAGCCTCCCAAAGTGCTGGGATTGCAGACATGAGCCACCGCGCCCAACCTACAACTATAGCCTTAAGGCCATTGTGTGCCCTTCACAGGGTACTGACACCTCCTGCATGGTACTTACTGTCTGTCTCCACGTTGTCTCTAGCCTTGACCAGAGGAGACAGCGCCACATTGTGGTTGACCACATTAACTCACATTTCTTAAGTGCTTACTGTCCGCCAGGCCCTGCTCTAAATGCTTCTGGTAATAGCCTAGTAGCCCTAGTGCGGCAACTCTCTCACAAATAACTATAGACTATAAACCCTTGACAAAACAACAACAAAACGACACTCTCTGAAGGCAGCAGAGGGCAAGGCCGCAGCGGACGCTGCAGGTGGTCAGCAATTGGGAGGAACAGCCGG